TTAACTCTTTCAGCACAGGCTTGGTCCCTGGTACTGACCTTGTAAACATTTTGTGCTTGTTATAGTTTACATGCTATAACTTTTAAATTAGTAAGCATATGTTAATGAAATTTAATGGATTATCAGTATACATTACAATGCGTTTATAGACAAAATATAATTTTTTTTATTACGTCTTAAGGTTTGTTAAGCAATGTTTTTCTCATGCATTTTTTTTTCTTTTTGCAAGTTTCCTACCCAACATGCAAAGTAATTTACATTTTAAGATTAAAAATACTTTTATGCATCAGAAAATTTTCAAATTTCACATGTGAAATCTTTATAATGTCTAGATAGTTATAAAATGTTTCTTAAGAAAAAACTTGTGTTATTTTCAGTAATGAATCAATGTACGAGTTCAGTAGCTTTGACCGACCTTGTAACCACCATAAAAATGAGGAAATAGATATAAATTATGCCTCTTTCATTCTACAATAAACACAAATTATAACACAATGACATAAATGTTTGGACTAAATAGCTTAAATTTCATAACATTATACATTTATATATATTTATTATATTGACCTTTTAGGCATGCCTGGCTAACAATACAGAAGTTACAATGATGCAGCTCACTCATGTTACTGTATCCAATAATATAAAACTGACCTTTAGTCTTTACAAAGTGACCTGTCTTGGCTGTGTTTTAGTAGACTAGTATTTTGTAAAATATGGTCACAATTCAATTATTATACATTGTACATACATTGATACTATTTACAAATAAGTTCTTAAACTTATTTTTCTTAAAACATAGAACAGTAAATAAAGAAGTAAAGCAAACAATTATCTATTCTAGTTATGACCTTTTTACTTGCTTGACGTAGGTTGCTAAGCCTTTTAAAATTTTGCACATGGAGGATATGAAACAAAATAATTTTTTTTAGGCTTTATACATACAGTTGAATATCAAAAAAAAACATAAATTACTATATCAATACCATAGAATTCCACTATAATTTATCAAGCTAAATAATTAAGCTGTATTTCAGTCAAAAAAAATATTAAATTTTGAGCAGACTAAAGACGCACCCTACCTCCTTAAAATCTTAGTTCAAAAGAAAAAAATGGTGTCCTAAGAATTTAAAATGATTAAGAAAGCCACTTGGGGGACATTCTGAGTTTTTGATTAGTTATTCATGTTGTATATAGAAGTAAGTGTATATAAGGGAGCATCTCCAAAAATGGAAAGAGGTTGGTGGGGGGGTCTACTGTGGTTGATTCAGTATATGAGCGATATCTTGGCAAATAGAAAAGATGAGAGATTCTTATCTTATATTCCAGCTTTTCAATATCAGTAGTTTATATTCCAGTTCGTACAAAACTATAGACTTTATATTTTGACATCACAAACATATAATTTGAACCAATGCTGCATTCATCATAGCACGTGACATTCAAAAACTGATGTTTAACTGTGTTTTTCTTTTATATATATATTTTCTTTTAAATTAAGAAATTGATTAGTATATAGTGCTAAAATTTGAATTATAATCTACAGTTTGATACTAGACTTGTTGACTTATATTCATAAAATAGTAGTTCAATAAAATTTTCAATGCGAGTCAACAAACATGATGACATTGCTTTTCACCCGTGTCCTGTTACAAAGTAGTCATAATGTGACAACTTTACAAGTTGGTTTTATTTTTTGCATGTCCTTATGATAAAATTGTACTGCCTCAGTTTTTATCTTATTTCAAATGAATAAATAACTTCTTATGCTGTTGAATAAAACACTTTTTTACCAACAAAAATTTCTTGAAGGAGTAGGGAATAGCTAGAAACTGTATCCAATCATCATTAATTGTAGGAAATGAGACTTGTCTTAAGAAAACTTGTAATAAAAGAAGTTTATGTATCTCTCCAGCAATCTTTCTTAGATCAAAAGTGAAATGTTTAAATTTGTATTTTTTGGCTGTTTATTTAATAAAAAGAGAGAAACATAAAATAGAGTTCTCAAATTAGGTCTAATCTTTGAAAAATGAGAGGGGTATCTATTAGCTTATAAATTAAACATATTTTATTAGAAATGTCTTGAAATGTTAAGTATAAATTGATAAAAATATCGGAGAAAGCCTAACCATGTTTAAACATAAAATGAATATGGATTTATGTATAGAACTTACATTTAAGCAACACAAGGTTTGTGATAAAAAGAGTACCCACCTAGTTATATCTTGAATTCCTTTTATTTATAGACTGAACAGACTTAAACCAGTTATTTCTTTTGAATTAGTTTTTAGTGCACCATAATATTAATATCATTTGAAATAGGCTTAAATTATTTTTCCCTACTAAATTATCTTTGTGATTCATATCTGTAGCAATGTGAAGAACACTTCATCACAAACCTCCAAGACAGTTGTGCCAAGATGACGGTTAGAGCAGTCCATGAGTAAACAGCTTTCTCCTCGGTCAAATTTTCAAACATGTACCTTTTCACACTCATGCTGTTATCAGTCAGTCTCATCTTCTTTCTACTGTCAGTCAAATGATAGCACAAGTAGCACCTCTCAGTCATGTAAACACCAGCCAGTTCCTAAAAGATTATCTTCAAAATCAGCTCCACTAGCTGCAAGTAAGAGAGAGTCTGGAAGCAGTTCTGATATTATCAAGGTTAATAGCAAATGTAGGATATCCATTAGGTCTAATAATAACAGTCCTGAGGAAGCTGTTAAAACCAAAATTCGTTCCTCTGGTAAGCCCAAGAGAAAGATGTTACATTCAAATGTGACATCGTCTGTTAAAGTCACAAAACGTAAGGAAAAGAAATGCCTGAAAAACCAGCACAAACATTAAATTTGTGTCTTTAATTCAGTAAATTTTAATAAAAATATACTTTTATTTAATAGAGGTGGTTGTACATATGTATTATGGTTGATGTTTTTTAAAAATTCTATAATTTTTTCCCTTTGAATAAGTAATTTTTATGTATACATAAAAAATGATTTTTTAAAATGTGAATTAAAATCTTTTATTATAAAAACACTCAAGGAATTTTAAAAGATGTACTGTGTGGTGGGTTCAGGGGGGTAACCCTAATCCTTATTTTATTATTCATCATAATTGTATGCAGTGATAGCCATTTTACAGTAACATAATTTCAGTGTGTCAACATACAGTGTATTTGCAATAACATAAATATTAGGAATACTCCTTCACTTGTTAATGTTATCATTAGATGTAGATAGTTTTCATTAACATCATATTGTCATATATTGTTACAGATTATGAATGATTTATAAGATTTAACCCATATCACAAGTAAAATTAACTAGTTTATCAGTTAAAAGGATTTAATTTTTGGCATTTTATAATAATATTTCATTAATAAAGAAAATATTTGGGCAGCAGTTTGTACCCATTGTTTAGAAACAGTCTGTGTGGGTAAAAATCATTGTTTCCAAGTAAGAGGAGAAAAAATCAAATTTAGTGATAAACTGATTTTTGAAACAATTATTTTGCATAAAACTAGTTGATTTATGCCTTTTTTAACTTTAGAGGTTAGCTAGATCCTAAAAATCCGACAGGCTTTTGAATAAATGATGGTCTTTTTAAAAAGTAAACATCTGCAAACTTATGATTGAATATTCTAAAAATAGGAGTATCTACATGCAGTTTTCTTTTTTATGGTGTAATGTGTGTACGTTTTAATGTGTAAATTTTCAAATAGTGCACTAATAGCAAAAATTGTATTCTTTGGCCAAACATGTTGTATACTTTATCTTACATGTTGGAAAATTTTGCATTCAGGCAAACCTCGATTATCTGGACTCATTGGAACTCAGAAAACGGTCCAGATAATCAAAAATATGAATAATAATGAGACAAAAATGACAACCAAATGAATTATAAATAACAAAATGTAATTGTGCAATCATACTTAGATATTTACAGAATAAAAGTTGGCTACAGAAATCTGAAATGTTGAGGCATTTTAGTTTGCTTCAATGAATATCACTTTATCTGCATAGCGAAGTCCATCATTTGTCTAAACTACAGAATTTGAACAGGTTCAACATTGTTCTGCCTTTCCATTCTAGACAAGCACTTTTTGAAAGCATCTACTGCTTCCAAGTTTGATACTGGCTTCTCATCAGGTTGGACCTCGTCTTCCTTGTCGCTACCTTCAATATCTTCCTCAGAACTTCTGATAACAATGGTTAAGATTTGTTCGTCTGGCATCTGTGGTATAGCCAGGAGCTCATTTTCCCTAACATGTCCCTCATGGTTTCACCCGAGTCATTTTTTGGCTCTTGTATATTTGGCTGGCTGTTATAGGGATGGGTTCGCAGATTCTTGAAAGCCTTGAATATTGATTTGGACCTTTTCTCTTCGTGTCAAACAGCATCTAAAACTCATCTTTTATAGTGTCTAGCTTTACAATTTCTTGGAAACTCTGTGCTGGATCGAGGTTGTGAGCACAAATTATTTTCTGAAGGAGTTTTCTCTTGTATAGGTTCTTCACTGCTTGAAGGATTCCTTGATCCATATACTGAACTAGGAAGGTCATGTTGGGAGGAAGAAACATATCAGTAACAGAACCATCACGGCTTTTGAGCTCACCAGGATGGGCAGAACAATTATTGATCAGTGAGAGAGAGCGTTTGGAGAGTGGATGTTTTGAGAATGCTGGTGGTGTTTTATTGCTGGCACATATTCTTTCCTAAACCACTCAGCAAAAATCTCCGAGTTCGTCAATGCATTTCTTTGAGACTTGTGGATTACAGGGAGGGTATTCATATTTACATTCTTGGAACAGGTTTTAGTTTGTGAGTTCTGGTGATGTTCGCACATCCAAGCACAGTTACGCAATCCTTTCACTTTTTGAATCTAGGAGCAGATTTCTCATGGCATGAAATGAAGGTTTTTTGCGGTTTGCATTTTAAAAATCACGTTACAATTGGAAATTACTGATTGCCGATTATTATATTGCATAATTGGACTAATTCTGATTATGTACATTAAAGTTGATGATGTCATTATGTAATATTGTTGACAGTTTAACCTTAAAAATTGTAATGACTGCACAAAACATACTTTCAAGCTTCATTAATTTTGAAATGATTGAACTTATCAATAAATGTGCCATGTCAAAAAAAATATTTTTAACCACGATCTCTTTCCTGTTCTTTATTTGATTGAGTGAAAAATAGAATCGAGAACTGTCCTTATGGCTATTACATGGTCAATACATAACATTATGTGACCGTTGTAAGAGAAGCAATCCAACCAATTGGCAATCATGTTTATCGAGCCACAACTAACTGTAAGGTAACTTAAATTATTCATAAATAATGTGACTGTCAAATGATGAAATGGAATGTTCCATAGCTGTCCAATAGGTTACTTATTTTGTAATTTATTTGAACATACCTGTTTACCACTTTCAACTTATAGTGACATGTACAATGCAAACAATTGACAAAACCTCCTTTAGGAAAGTTATGGGACATTCCAGATTTCCAATCGCTCTGTTGTCAAGTGCTCTTTAGCGACCTTCCCAAACAATGAGCTAATACGCAATGTACTACTAACGGGAAGCCACTTGGCATGTCATTCCGAGAACTTTGCAGGAAAAGTCTGCATAGGGTGCTGTTATCGACAATTTGTTAACGTACGGTCTGTAAAAAAATGGGTGTGATTCGCGATGTGTGGAGCATTGTTTTTAACTTTCCTTCATTGTATCAATTTAGGTGCATAAATGAGAAACTGATATTTTATTCTATGGTGAATAATGTTTCGTATTTTGTCAAAAAAAACATGGCCCTGATTGTAAGCAAACTTATAAATCAGAAGATTGTTGTTGTGAATAAAGTGATCTGGATGGTGCTATTTTTTAATTTCTTGGCAGTCGGTTTTCCATGACTGGGAAATTTGACAAATTCTACCAATTCCGATTTGTCTCTCGATTATGCAATAATCTGCCCAATTCCGATTGCTAAACTGATTATCGGTTAAACTGTTTCTGGTAAGCTTTTCCACAGAAGTCCAGTCTCATTGGTATTGTAGATTGCTTCTAGGGTCAAACCTTTTTCCTCGATCATCTTGTGCAGCTTCTGTGAAAAGGGTTCAAACTTTATTATGCAGCTGAAAGTCTTTCACCTTAAATGCTGCAGGTTCCTTATGCCATGTCGATGTTTAAAATTTTCTAACCATCCTATTGATGCTTTAAAGGTTTCATGATCAACCGACTCCATTGTTTTCAATTGACTGGAGGAATATTTTGCTTTCTCTTGAAGAAGGGGACCAAAAATTAGTGTCTTGTCTTTAACCCTATTACCCCGGCTATGCTATCAGAGAGAAGGTAACATTGCTGTCATCATATTTTGTTACAAAAATAAAACTAGTGGGTGAAATTGTTTGAAATTTGACAAAAATGTTCCCAAGAGTATGTAATTTCAGAAAAATAAAATAATTATGATTTTTTCTACTATTTATAATAATAAAAAATCGTTTTTTTTTTGAACTATTCAGAGCCCTAGTGCAAATAACTACATTCCTGAAAAGTGATTTTCATTTTGAGTGTAAAAAATACTATTTTTATCTTTAGCTAGGGAGCCAATCGACATAGAGGGTTGTAAAGGGTTGTTGGTGTTCAAACTCTTCTACTACCCCCTATATGACACTTTCTAAGTGGACAACTCTGTGGATCAGCTACTGAAAATTTTTGAGAGCATTTTATGTCAAACGAAACAAAATTAGCATTTCTCTATTTGCAAAGTTCATATGGTTTATTTAACTTAATCATGTCAAAAGAACAGTTATATACTACATACATACTGATAATAGAAAAATGGTTTATATATTTAAACACGTTACATTGCCATTTATTATGAAATTTGAAATAAAATGGTGTGGACTACATTACACAGCATTATATTAAAGTATGTGCATTTTGTATAGTAGACGAGAGCTGTATGAAAAATGATACAGTAGAGAAAATATAGTTTACTGGCATGCCTTTTAAGACAGTTTTAATAGTAATGTCATATTCTGAATGGCGCGTCTTGATTCACAAACCACTTGATCCCCATTCAGTTATCATCATCTGACTCACTGCTGGAAGTACTTGGCAGAAGAACATTTCTCCAGGTACCCCTTTCACCTGCACTCAATGTAGCACAGCACTTGTTTCTCTGCATACCAACAGCTTCAGTTGCATCCTTTCTAACAGTTACAGGATATAGACTGTGTAATTTGATCTGGCCATAGCATTGCTGTTGTCCATCCATAGTTTCCAAGAGAGGTATGACTGGTTTGGCAACATGTGCTCATTTGTCTAAAAATGCAGAGAGTAGGGCTTGTCTGAGATGCAATAGGAAAGAGTTTCAGTTGGTGGAAGTAACTTGAACAAAGTTGATTTGTTGTTCAAGAATTTATTGGCTATAATTTCTGCAAAAGTACATCCCAGCATATCTTTCTTCTTTGTATACACTCCAATGAGAAGAGTTCTGGCTTGATTTGTAATGTTATCTGTGAGAGTACATGGGCTTTCATTTTCAGCAAAATCTTCAAGTTCCCATTTCAAATTTTTGACTCATCAGAAGCCATGTTTTTTGCTGGTGAAGAATGGGAAACTTGTCCTGTCCCGCCCACTAAGGCTGTGGAGCATTAGCATTAGTTTGCACTGTGATGCTCCCATACACCGTGCAATGTTATGAATAGGCAAGTATTTGTTTTGGTTGATTTGAACCCACAATTCATTGAGTTCTGATAACAATGTTGAAGCATAGTAGATGCATAAGACAATGACATCAGTGCCATTAGCATAGACTACCACATGTTTCACATCTTCTGTCTGTACACTATATATATTGTGTGCAGAATGATTCATGTATCGGCTTCCTCGTGGGTTGATT